TCGAGGATCACAGGCTGGGGTGATGAGGAGGGGAAGACTTATTTTGAGGCGCCTCAAAAGTCGTCCCCCATGTCTGGGGAAACATGGAAAGCTAGTCGAGGATCACAGGCTGGGGTGATGAGGAGGGGAAGACTTATTTTGAGGCGCCTCAAAAGTCGTCCCCCATGTCTGGGGAGACATGGAAAGCTAGTCGAGGATCACAGGCTGGGGTGATGAGGAGGGGAAGACTTATTTTGAGGCGCCTCAAAAGTCGTCCCCCATGTCTGGGGAAACATGGAAAGCTAGTCGAGGATCACAGGCTGGGGTGATGAGGAGGGGAAGACTTGTTTTGAGGCGCCTCAAAAGTCGTCCCCCATGTCTGGGGAAACATGGAAAGCTAGTCGAGGATCACAGGCTGGGGTGATGAGGAGGGGAAGACTTATTTTGAGGCGCCTCAAAAGTCGTCCCCCATGTCTGGGGAGACATGGAAAGCTTGTCGAGGATCACAGGCTGGGGTGGTGAGGAGGGGAAGAGTGGGGGAAGGAGGGTGTGGGTGGGTACTTGGGGGAGAACATTGGAAGAGTGGGGGAAGGAGAGTGTGGGTGGGTACTTGGGGGAGAACATTGGAAGAGTGGGGGAAGGAGAGTGTGGGTGGGTACTTGGGGGAGAACATTGGAAGAGTGGGGGAAGGAGAGTGTGGGTGGGTACTTGGGGGAGAACATTGGAAGAGTGGGGGAAGGAGAGTGTGGGTGGGTACTTGGGGGAGAACATTGGAAGAGTGGGGGAAGGAGAGTGTGGGTGGGTACTTGGGGGAGAACATTGGAAGAGTGGGGGAAGGAGAGTGTGGGTGGGTACTTGGGGAAGAACATTGGAAGAGTGGGGGAAGGAGAGTGTGGGTGGGTACTTGGGGGAGAACATTGGAAGAGTGGGGGAAGGAGAGTGTGGGTGGGTACTTGGGGGAGAACATTGGAAGAGTGGGGGAAGGAGAGTGTGGGTGGGTACTTGGGGGAGAACATTGGAAGAGTGGGGGAAGGAGAGTGTGGGTGGGTACTTGGGGGAGAACATTGGAAGAGTGGGGGAAGGAGAGTGTGGGTGGGTACTTGGGGGAGAACATTGGAAGAGTGGGGGAAGGAGAGTGTGGGTGGGTACTTGGGGGAGAACATTGGAAGAGTGGGGGAAGGAGAGTGTGGGTGGGTACTTGGGGGAGAACATTGGAAGAGTGGGGGAAGGAGAGTGTGGGTGGGTACTTGGGGGAGAACATTGGAAGAGTGCCTCTTACTGGCGAGGCGAGGTAGTTGAGAATAACAGGCTGGTGTGGGGGGGAGAGGAGGGATGTCCAAGTACCCCATGCTCTGCCCTGACTGCAGGTCACTCGGCCCACTGGAACGCTACAGTAAACAAATCCCTACAATCAACCTCACCTGCCCGTACACACCTGCCCCATGCTCTGCTCTGCTCTGCTCTGCCCCGAGTGCAGGTCGCACGCCAGCACGCGCATGCACATCCTAACCCCCTCCTTCCTCCGCACTACAGTCACAAGCCCCTAGAATCACTCTCACCTGCCCATACACATGGTCGACGGGGATATCAAAGTACCCCATGCTCTGCCCCGAGTGCAGGTCGCATGCCAACACGCACACGCGCAGTCTCTAACCCCCTGCTTGCCCCACACAAACCTCTTCCTCGTGTCCCTGTCTTTCCCCTCACCTGTCCATACACATGGTCGACGGGGATGTCAAAGTACCCCATGCTCTGCCCCGAGTGTAGGTCTCTAGCTCCCCTTACAACACCACAGTTACCCGCCCATACACACACCTTCCCTGTACAATCACAAGCCCCTACAGTCACACACACCTGTCCATAGACATGATCCACGGGGATATCAAAGTAACCCATGCTCTGCCCCGAGTGCAGGTCGCATGCCAACACGCGGTTAGCACCCGCCTCCGTGATCAGATTCGCCACCAGCTTCGCCGCTATCGACTCGCGGCCTTGGGTCTGGTGAGAGGGTGGGGGGATATGGGTATGGGGGAGAGAACACGGTTTGGTGAAAGGGGAAAGGAAAGAGGGGAGATGAGCGAGAGGGGCAGACAACACGCGGTTGGCGCCCGCCCGCGTGATCAGATTCGCCACCAGCTTCGCTGCCATGAGGTTCTCGTAGGCCGGCGGGCATGTGCGGGAGAGGGGAACGGAGGGACGAGGAGGGAACGCACCTTTCTGTCAGCTCGCGCATATCCAAAGTAAGGGATGACCGCGGTTATGGTCTTGGCGGAGGCACGGCGGCACGCGTCGATCATGACGAGCAGCTCCATGAGGTTCTCGTTCGCCGGCGGGCACGTGGGCTGCACCAGAAACACGTCGCACCCGCGCACGCTCTCCTGCAGCTGCACGTAAATCTCGCCGTCTGCGAATCGCTTGATTTTCACCCTCCCGAGTTCCAACCCCATGCACGACGCGATCTCCTGCGAATGGGTGGGGAAGGGGGAGAAGGGTGAGCGGGAGCGGGTGGTAAGTCAGGAAAACCACCACACGTCGCACCCACGCCCCGCGCACGCTCTCCTGCAGCTGTACGTAGATCTCGCCACCGGCAAATCTCTTGAATTTCACCCTCCCGAGCTCAAGGCCCATGCACGACGCAATCTCCTGAAACGGGTGGGGAAGGGGGAGAAGGGTAAGCAGCAGCGGGTGGTAAGGCAGGAGAACCGCCACACATCGCACCCAGCCGCGCACGCTCTCCTGCAGCTGCACGTAGATCTCTCCGTCCGCGAACCGCTTCACCTTCACGCGGCCTAACTCGAGGCCCATACAAGAGGCAATCTCCTGGGATGGGTTGGGGGCGGAGGGGGAGGGGTGTTGGAGGCGTATTTTGAGGCGCCTCAAAATACACCTCACTGCACGGAGGGGTGTTGGAGGCGGGTAAGAGGAACGCAAGACGTTGCAACCAACACACGTCGCACCCAGCCGCGCACGCTCTCCTGCAGCTGCACGTATATCTCGCCCGTCCGCGAACCGCTTCACCTTCACCCAGGCCCATGCACGACGCGATTTCCTGGAAGGGATCGGGAGTGAGGGGTGTTCGAGGCGGAAGGAGAGGGGACGGAAGAAGGATGAGTGCAAAGGGCGTGGAGCTTCCTTGTGCAACTCGTTCTAATTTTGAGACGTCTCAAAACTAGCTTCCTTGTGCAACTCGTTCTAATTTTGAGACGTCTCAAAACTAGCTTCCTTGTGCAACTCATTCTAATCCCTAATTGCGAACCTGAGAGAGCTGCTTATTCGCCGTTCCTGAAAAGATCCGGAGCCGCGTGTCGGAGCGGTTATCCCGGAGCGCCACCCAATCCTCGCCTGCCAGCTGTTGCCACATCACCGCTCCGTTGATCTGACGTGGCCCGCCGGGCCGGATGGATTGCCCTATATTCGCAGGGAGCTGCGAAATGGACGAGATTGGAGGCAGGCGCTGCCATTTCGCGGAGTTTTGAGCGGTAACGCTCTTCGCCAACGCTAGGGTTTCGCGGAGGGGAGAGGGTTGTAATGCGTGGAGCGCAGGGGGATGGTTCTGGCGGAAAACAAGACCGGTTGCGGTCTGCATTTTGCTAAAGCGGAAAAAGGAGAAGGGAAAAAGGTAGAAACCTGGTGTTCAATTACTCGGCAATATCAAGATGTAACGAGGAAAAAGATGAAACCCTCTCAGCGTCAGGAGTGGAGATTAAAGCGACGGGCAACTTTTGGCAGTGTTGGGTTCAGAAGTTTTTTTTTTGAACCAGGCTTGCCAGCGCGAAAGTGCTGGCTGGCGAAAACCAGGATTTCGTGCGGACACTTTCCATCCGCAGTAACAGTTCGCCAGGGTTCTGGGTTTTGGGTGGCAAATGTGCACCGTCGCTTTAATAAGGCAAGAACGACGTGAAACGACGCTGACGGACAAATCCGTAGCGTAAGCCGGCAGGATCCTGAATTCGCGGCTAAAGAACCCTGCTGGAACTAATTGAAACGTGGTCCTGAGCCTACTAATCTGCTGTGCACTAGAAAAAGGGCTGCAATATGCTCCGCGTGCAGGCGAGGAACAGCGGAGTTCTCTCTGGGGGCTGCGTCAGAATCAGCACGAACTTGGCGGGAACTTCACGAGTGCCGCGCGTCACTGCGTGATTGGGCGTGCCAGGATATTCCCGAGGCACATGCTACTGTTGTTGGATAGCGGAGAATGGGAATCTCGGTACACTTCCATGAGTAAAAATAGAATCAAAAGGGAATCTTTCGCCAAGGCAGATCATAAGATAGATCAAAGCCCACTGTAAAGCGTACGTATCCGGGCGTGCATGGGCTGAATTGAACATTCACCATTGGGCGGCATCCGCCGCCAGCCCAGCATGGGAAGATATCACCCTAATCCCTCCGGAAACCCGCTTTTTCCCCTGCGGGATTTCCCTGGAGGGATTTCCGTTTTCCCGCAGTCGCCTAGCGAAGCACGCGAGGGGCGGGAGCCGAAAACGGGCACCCCCAGCTGGCGCCAGCTGCCAGCGGTCCCCCCCAACCGAACCGAACCCCACCCTCGGTTCGTAGACGGGTTCCGTCCGGCAACCCACGGAACCCTCGCCGGGTGTCGCCTCGGCGACGGAACTCGTCCGCGAATTCTCGCGAGCGGACGGAAACGACGCCCATCTGCGCCGCGCTCCACCGCTCTCGCCCTCGACGGGGCCCGTTTCGGTTGGCGCTCGACCCTGGTGATGTGTCGAACGCCCCCTCCCGCTCCTTGAGAGGGGCCTTTCAGCTGCATGCAGGGCGCCCCACCTCATGCAACCAACCACCAATAGGGCCCCGCCGCCCTCTGCCATAAGCTCTTCCTACCGCCGTCGCGGAACGCGCCCTGACTCGTCGCCCTTGCACCCGAGTCTGTCTCGGTGGAGGGGATGGCAAACAGCAAATACCCCGAGTGCGTTCTCATTTTGTTGCAGTCTCCGAGTTTTTCTTCCCTACTCCCTAGTTCCCATCTTCCCTGCGCTCCCGCCCTCCCTACTGCTAGGCCTGTCATGGCTACGGGCCCCGCCTCCCTACCCGTCGTGAACGAGTCGACGGTTCGACGCGGCCTCATCCTAACCGCAGGCGGGATCAATGTGGAGGTGTTTGAAGACCAGTTGAATGCGCTTAGCGAGGCGCCGAAGGCGGAGCTCGACGAGATGATGATGAACGCGGGCGTTGTGTACGTTTCCTGTCGAGCATTTTCGGTTTGCCATATTTACCTGTCGTTGACTGTGCCTTAGCTTTCCGTGCAGCCTGTTTTCGAGGGGGCTGCTATCCGTCGAGCAGCTCGTCAAGCTGGCAATCGTGACTTCGACGCGTGCGCATGAAGAGATGGCGCGTCCCACACCGGTCGCTTTTGCGAACAACCACCTCGACGGCCTGCTCGGCAAGCAAGTGATTCTCGTTCTGCTGCGGACCACGTGAGTTCGACACTATCCCGTCGCCTTGCGTGCTCCGTGTTTAGTACTAAACCAGTGCTCACGTGCATTCGCTCTGCATGCAGCCTGACTGTGGCGCCGTTCTCCCACTCGAGCCTGTTTGTGGTATCGCGCCCCGACGATCTGCTGGCTCCGAGGCACCATGGCTGTCGAACTCGAATGATGCACTTCGATTCGAAAGACAGGTTTCTCACGGTGAACCACCAATCTTCGCTGGCGCATGAAGTTCTCGTGTGAGTGACCGATTTGCCACCCTGCTGTTGACTTGCCGTTCTCGACAATCTCTTACTCTCCTGTCCGTTGCTTTGCAGTTGGATGAAGGAGCAGCTTCGCGCCGAGTACGCGGCGACCCAGTGGGTTGTGACCGAGCACGAGCAGGAGGTGCTTAGCCTCATCGACATGCGTCTGGACATGATCACGAGTTTCGATCATTTGGTAAGCCAACCCTTACCCTTACCCGTGCATGTTTTCGTCGAGCATGTTTGTTCTGTTGCTTACGTGTGTTTTATACCCGTCGCAGACGACGACGGCCCTGACGAGCCCCAGTGAACCCGGCGCGGCAGCTCGTGTCGTGCATGGGGTGCGCCGGATTCTGCCGAACTGGGACAATTCCATCCAGCAGCCTCGACAGGGCGACCTCGTGATGCTCGGGAGAACGAGCCCTGGCCCGGGTTTGCTTCCGTCGTTCATGGTCAAACTGTTTTGGAAAAGGATGGACGAGGCGGCGGAGGGAGTAGGACTGGGAGTGGGTGTCAAACACGAGGGAGGAGGCGAGGGGGCGCCACGCGTCGTGGTTGAGTACAGCTACGAGGAGGAGGAGGAGATCGAGGAGGATACATCCAGGCAAGCTCAGCACGAAGTGAGCGGCCCGGGCGGCAATGCAAACGAGCAGGAGGGCTCGAGCTCGGAATCGAGCTCCAGCTCGAGCTCGAGTGATGAGTCAATCGAGCACGACGGCGAGGGCGCAGGAGAACATCCAGGTGGGACGGAGCGTACGGAGGAGCACGGAGTGGCGCTCGGGGAGCGGTGGACGAGCAGCAGGCGACGGGGGACGATTGGGCTGTCGAGGAGCAGGAGGGCGGAGCGGCTGTGCAGGATTTTGGGACAGGAGTGCAGCAGCAGGAGGGCGGGGCGGCTGCGCAGGAGGGTGGGGTCGGAGGGCAGCAGCAGGAGGGTGTGGTGGCTGCGCAGGAGGGTGGGGCAGGAGGGCAGGAGCACGAGGGCGAGGAGGCTGCGCAGGAGCGACGGGTCGCAGTAAGAAAGAGACACCGCACGGCCAGTGGCAGCGGACAGGCGGGCCCTTCGACGGCAGGCCATTCGACGTCGGCCATTGCATCCGAAGGCCAGGTCGTCGAGCTACTGCAGAGGGTCGCGGAGGTCGAGGCGTCGCAGAAGAAGCTCGTCGGCGACGTATTTGCGAAGCACAGTGATCAAGCCGTTGTTTTCAACAACCTTGCTGGGGACTTTCGGACGGCCTGGAATATGATTTCGGAGTCGTCGAAGAGCACGCTGAAGCACTGCGGCGATGCCATAAATGGTGTCACGGAGGAGATGAAGCTGTTGGAAGGGGCATGCACGAAGCTCGACGAGATGAGCGGGAAAATCATCGAGGGGGTGGCAGCCGCTATCACAAAAGCGGGCGAGGACGCCGTCGAGAAGCAGCTCAAGCTTGTCGAGGAGCGGCTGGTTGCTTCGGTCGTGAAGGGTATTGAGAAAGCCGTCAAGGATTACTTGTTCAACTCCACCCTCCCGCCCGAGAGCATTAAGGAGCTGAAGGATGTTGTGAGAGAAAGCTACCAAGAAGCTGAAGCTGGCAGATTGGAAGTCCTCACCGAAGCGATGGCGAGAGGGTTTCGGGGCTCGGCGGGCCCGTCGATGAGGTCGCGTCAGGAGGAGGGGGTGGCTGGTGTTCGCAGCGGGGTTGAGCGTCGAGTTCATGAGCGCTTGGTTCCTCCTTCTTCGGTGGGAGGACATGTCGGCAGCCCGGTAGCATCCCCACCATCGCGTGCCCGTCAGACCGTCGGCAAGTCCGTCGAGGACAAGGAGGTCATCGTACTTGACCAGTCGCCCCTTCAGCAGACCTCCGAAGCGGCACTGAAGCCTCCGCCTGATGCTTTTGCTCCGCTGCGGGACATGCTGCAGGGCCTCGGGAAAAAGGGTGGGAAATGAGTGGTTGCGGGGGAGAAAAGTGGTGCCCCAATCGGCCAGGTCGCCTCAGCCGGGAAAGGAGCTGTGGAAAAGCGAGGTGCCCCTACCCCGTCCGGCGGCGCTGCGGGGAAAGGAGTGGGGGAGAAACGGGGTGCTCCCAGCCAGGTCCTCGTCGCTGCTGGGTTGCTGTCGAAGACAAAGGCTGGCTCAGCTGCGCAGCTCGGCATTGTTGGCCGTCCTGTCGAGCCTGTGGGAAAGAGGCTGTCGTCCGTTTTAGGCGACGTCTGCCTTAGCGAACCGGGTTCCCCTCCTCCTGGTTCGAGGCCAAGGTCCCCTTCTGCGTCGAAGAAAACGCAGGCTATGACGAAGTCGACGAAGCGTGCTGCAGAGGCGATAGAGAGCAGTGACGTCGAGAAGGCGTCTACCGTCGTTGCTGCTCGACATGAAAAGTCGAAGAAGCCCAAGGTGATCGGCTACGCCCCACCTCCTCCGCCGGACGACCAAGCCAAGACGAGAGGCTGCATAGCTCCCTTCAAAGGACCGGGCATGATGTCACGGAAGGGGAAGCCGGTTTCCGAGCAGACCGTAGGCTCGAGGAAGCGGTTCCTGGGCACTTTTGAAACGGAGGCGGACCAAAAGTTTTGTATGGCCATCTGCTGGCGCGTGTACTTCCCCGACATAGACCTTAAAGAGTACGAGGGGTTCACGGCGCAGGATGAGAAGGACTGGAAGGTCTATCTCGATGCAGCCGCGCGTATGCTCACCGGGGTTTGGAGCGTGGCGCAAGAACAAGGGGAATGTCGTTTCGACGAGTGAGTTATGTCTAAGTCCTGTAGTTTGACTGTCGTAGCGGTTTTGTTCTTTCCGTTGAAGTGCTTTCGTATTTCCTGACGAAGTCGTGCCGTCTGACTAACGCAATTGTTTCGATTTGTAGTTTCCGGTCGCTGCTGGCAACGACAAATACGGAAGTGAGAGCCAGAACCGACTGGGGAATTGCGCTGTGTGTGGCGATTGGGAAGGTTGCGACGCTTGGCCGGAGGCACAGGAACGTGATTTATCCGGTCCCGAAGAACATGCACGGGACTGCGCACATGATGGCTGTCGCAGCAACTGTGGCAAGCTTGTGGGCGGCCTGCAGGAAGTTGTCAGAATATTATGTTTCTCTAGTCTGCAGTGGGGTACTCTGTAGTGAGTACAACCCTGTTAGGGTTTTCTATATGTGTCCCAATGCTTTCTAGTGCAATCATTCTCACTCATTTCATTCTCGATTCTCACATGGTAAAGAGCAATTTCGATCCTTCCTAAGGGCCCACCACGTTTACACTGATTTTTTTTTTTCACCTGCCTGACGCGCGCGTCGCACCTGCCCTTCGAGGCCCGTAGCGGCCCCTGCCCCTGCCCTTAAAGCCAGCGCCGGCCCCCAAAGCAGCCGCGCTGCGGCCTAGCCAGGAGCCGCGCAGCCCCGTAAGGCCCCGTCAGGCCCCGTAAGGCCCCGTCAGGCCCCGTTTACGACCCCTTAAGGCCCCGTAAGGCCCCGTTAGGCCCCGTAAGGCCCCGTTTACGGCCCCGTTTAAGGCCCCGTAAGGCCCCGTAAGGCCCCGTAAGGCCCCGTTTACGGCCCCGTTTAAGGCCCCGTAAGGCCCCGTAAGGCCCCGTAAGGCCCCGTTTACGGCCCCGTTTAAGGCCCCGTAAGGCCCCGTAAGGCCCCGTAAGGCCCCTTCGCGGCCCGTTAGGCCCCCTTCGCGGCCCGTTAGGCCCGTCGCGGCCCCTTTCGCGGCCCGTTAGGCCTCCGTCGCGGCCCCTTCGCGGCCAGTTAGGCCCCTTCGCGGCCCCCGTTACGACCTGTAGCGGCCCCTTCGCGGCCTGTTAGGCCCGTCGCGGCCCCTTCGCGGCCTGTCCCGGACCTGCCCCGACCCTGTCGCGGCCCCGTCCCGGACCTGCCCCGACCCCGGCCCTGCTCCGACCCTGTCGCGGCCCACCGTCGCGGCCCCCTGTCGCAGGCCCCCGTCGCGGCCCCCCCGTATCGGCCCCGTCGCCCGGCGCTGCCCCTGTCCCGAACCTGTCACGGCCCTGCCCCGACCCTGTCGCGGCCCTATCGCGGCCCTGCCCCTGCCATGCCCCGACCCTGCCCAGGCCCCGCCCCCCTCGTGCCTACACCGGCGCACCGGGGGCCCGCGCACCGCCCCCCCCCCCCTTTCCCGCCGCCTTACGAGGCGACCTGGGGGCGGCCGCGCGCGCCCCCCCCCCCCCCCAGGTCGCCTCGTAAGGCGACGGGAGGGGCGACCTGGGGGGGCGCACGCTGCCCCCACCCCCCCCCCCTCCCCCCCCCCCCCCTCCCCCCCCCCCCTCAGGTCGCCTCATCAGGCGACGGGAGGGGCGACCTGGGGGGGGGCGCGCGTCGGTGCAGCCGCCCCTGGTGCAGCCGCCCCTGGAGCAGCCGCCCCTGGACCCGGAGCAGCCGCCCCTGGCCCCTGGAGCAGCCGCCCCTGGTGCAGCCGCCCCTGGACCTCGGCAGCCGCCCCTGGCCCCTGGAGCAGCCGCCCCTGGTGCAGCCGCCCCTGGAGCAGCCGCCCTTGGACCCGGAGCAGCCGCCCCTGGCCCCTGGAGCAGCCGCCCCTGGTGCAGCCGCCCCTGGACCTCGGCAGCCGCCCCTGGCCCCTGGAGCAGCCGCCCCTAGACTCGGAGCAGCCGCCCCTGGCCCCTGGAGCAGCCGCCCCTGGTGCAGCCGCCCCTGGACCTCAGCAGCCGCCCCTGGCCCCTGGAGCAGCCGCCCCTGGACCCCGCGACGCCGCCCCTGGACCCAGTGCCGCCGCCTCCCTGCGCTGCCCGTTGCTGCTCTCTCCCCCCCCCCCCTTTCTTCGTCTCCCTGCTGCGCGTGCAGCCGTGGAAAGGAGGGTATGGGGGTGGCGGGTATGGGGGTGATGGGTGGTATGTTTCCCTTCCCCTCCTCCTCCTTTGTCTCCCACTGCTGCAGCTGCCGCTGAGGGGGGTGGATGTGTGGGAGCCAAAGGCGTGGTGCTAGGGGGTGGGGTGTGAGTGAACCTAGGGGTGTAGCAGGGGGTGTGTGAATGGGGGGTGCGGCAGTAGAGGGAGGTTGGGTGGAGGTAGTCGTCGTGTTGCTAGCAGTGCCAGTAGTCCGGAGGTGCGCTTCCGGTAGCCCAGTGATGCCGCTGCGCCAGTCGCCCGTGGGTCCGTTGCTCCTGCCGCTCGCCTCCGGTAGCCACAGTGCGCGCCGCTCCTGTTGCCCGTGTGTCTGCAGCTTCCGCCGTTGCCTCCTCTCTCCTCTCCTATTAGTCCAGCCTCCTCCTCCTCACTTGCCCTCTGTGATAGCCTCTAGCTTTACTTATTTATTGTGAACTTTAAACTGTTACTTCTTGTACTTGTGCTCAGAATGTGTGGTGACATTGTGATCCACCCTGAGCTTGCTTTGCTTTGCTTGTTGTGCTGATCATACCCCACTTTGACTATGGGGGTGTGTCAGAATATTATGTTTCTCTAGTCTGCAGTGGGGTACTCTGTAGTGAGTACAACCCTGTTAGGGTTTTCTATATGTATCCCAATGCTTTCTAGTGCAATCATTCTCACTCATTTCATTCTCGATTCTCACAGAAGTTGTCGAGGGAAGACATTAAGAAGGATGCCCTAGCTGCCGCAAACGCAGCGCTCTACGCCCCGGAGATGGCGACACGGGCTAGTGCGGCTGCCATGGCTGCGCTGCTGTCCGTACTTTTGCACGTAGGAAAGACGTTCCCGGCCAAGCAGTGGCCCGATCTGCGATATTCGTCGGCTGTCGAAGGCCTCGGCTCGACTGACTCCACCCTGTTGCAGGTGGTGCGCGTGTCAGCACAAGTCTGTACTCAATGGTGCTGTTGTCGATTTGCTACCCGTTTGCTGGAGGACGCGGGCTATGGGAGCCTGGCTATGCCAGAAGAAAAGAGCAAGGCGAAGCTGGGCGACGAGGATGCAACAGAGGCGGATGTCAGAATTATATTGTTATAACTGCATGTAGTTCTAGCTGTAGTGTAGTTATCCGAATTTCCTGCTTGGTGGTGTACCCCCCTTTCCTACCCTATTTGTACTTCACTCTCTATAGTGAAACACCTCTTCTTGCTCTCCAACTTTCTCGATAGTCATGCCTAGCCCAAACTCTAGCATGGCTCCTAAACTTTCTCCTAAACTCTAGCTACTATTTCAATATGGTATTAAGAGCTACTACGGTCTTAGGACCTACCCTATTTCAAGGAACATGGGCCCACCCACGCTGCAGCGCGACATGCGAATTTTTTTTCTCGTCACCGGACGCGCCCGAGGCGCCTACCGGTCCCGTCCCGTCATGCCCGTCGCGCTCTGCCCTGTCGCGCCCGATGCGCCTGCCCGTCCCGTCCCGTCGTCGCCCTGCACTCTGCCCGTTGCGTCCCCCTCTTGTCGCGCCCGTCACGCCCGTCGCCCTGCCCGTCGTAAGCGCCAGCGCCAGCACGGACCGCCAGCGCCAGCGCCTGCGACTGCCGCCAGCGCCAGCGCGGAGCGCAAGCGCCAACGCCAACGCCAACGCCTGCACCCCGCGCCAGCGCCAGCGCCGGAGCCTACGCCTGCGCCACCGCCAGCGCCAGCGCCGGCAGCAGCTAACGCCCCCCCCCCCCCCCCTCTTCCCTTTCGCAGCTTCTGCCGTGGAAGGGGGGGCGATGTGGGGGTGGCGGGTGTGAACGACCAGCAGCCCGTCCCTCCCTTCCCTCTTCCTCTCTCTACTGCAGCACTTGTTGCTGTGTGGGGGGGGGGGGAGGAGAGTGGTGTAGGGGGGATGAGAGAGGTTAAGGGGGGATGACAGAGAGGGGCGGACGAAGCAGCCACGCATATGCGACTGCCGCCCTCTGCTACCGTGGAACCTCCAGCTGCAGCCCCTGTCGCCACCTTTGTTTGTCTTATCTCTCTGCTGCTGTTGAGCGGCAGGTGCTGCCGTTGAGCCCTGCTGTGCCGCCGCCCTTGCCGCCGCACGCTCCTGCTTTCCAGGCGGCCTGCCGCCACATGCCCCTACTTCTGCTGTTTCTACCTTGGCTGAAGGGTTACTGCAGCTGTATCTGCCACTACTGCACTGGTTGTCACTGCTCTTGCGTGCTGCTGCTTTGTTCTGCTTGGTGTACCCGTGCAGGTTGTGTCTTGCACTTGGCTATTCCTGTATGCAATTAAGGGGGGATGTCAGAATTATATTGTTATAACTGCATGTAGTTCTAGCAGTAGTGTAGTTATCCTAATTTCTTGCTTGGTGGTGTACCCCCCTTTCCTACCCTATTTGTACTGCACTCTCTAGAGTGAAACACCTCTTCTTGCTCTCCAACTTTCTCGATAGTCATGCCTAGCCCAAACTCTAGCATGGCTCCTAAACTTTCTCCTAAACTCTAGCTACTATTTCAACAGCAGAAACAGGCGGGCAAGGGGAGTTGTATAGGTGGGCGCATTGCGTGGGGGTTTTTGCATCATTCGACAGATGTGTTTGTTGTTTCGATAGGTTGATCGACATAATGTTTCGGCTTGATGTTCCTTGGCTTAAAGTTTTCGAGAATGCTCAATTGGTTCATCTTGTCGAGATGGTCTCACAACATGCATTAGGGGAAGATGCCATGTAAACCCTGAAAGAACAACCTACACTAGGGTCCCCCCTCGTCACGGTTGCCCGTCGAACTAGGCCGCGAGCTAGTTGGTGCCGTGAAGTCTTTCCATTTCTCCTTGCCGAACACCTTCTCCGCCCATTCTGCGGTTTGGAGCTCGACGCGAATGAGCTCCAGAGTGATTCTGAGGTGTTGTTTGTCCTTCCGGTTTTC